TGGTACACTGTCAGCACAGCCTGCATCCGAACATCGATCCCTATCTGCCTTCACTAAGGTGCCAGTCGCCAAGAATCGATTGTGATATCTTAGAATGAAACCTGAGTGTGGTCAAGGGTGTGCAGAAGCGGAGAAGGTGTGTACAGCACACTCTGGCCCAGTGCACACCACACCCTGGGCCTGTGCACACCACACCCAGGCCCAGTACGCACCATGCCCAGGTCTTGCATATACCATGCATGACTCTTTGATATAAAGAATATGACCATTTGAAAAGTCAGAAACGCAGGGAAACAGTTCTAGGGACCTACGATTCTCAGAACATTCTCCAGAAAAACTACTGGAATGGTCTCTCATGCCAAGCTAGGCACCACTAAAATCCTATTGGACAAATGAAAATCATAGCACAGGCCAAGGCTGTGAATCTCCACAAAGCACACACACACACCAATCTTTAGTCATAGGGTCACAAGACCCTAACCCTGGCAAACCCCACACCTGTACCACCCCAGAAAACATGGGTGCCTGCTATTGAAGGAGAAGCCAGAGCCTTCTGGGCAGGCCCCTGCTGCGGCACTGACTCCAGAGCCACCACCATGGCTGGTGTGTTAGTAGTCCATCGCCACAGGCCTTCCTAAAGACACTGACTCCAGAGCAGTCCCAGACAAGGGACAGAGCAGAACCCACACACCGCATGCAATGAGGTGGAAAGGATTCCTGTGTTCTGAAGCTCACCAACCTGTTAACCACAGGAACCTACAGTACCCCAAAACTACACAAACCCTGCACACTTTTTGCAAGAGATGTGCAAGATTTATGGGGAAATGCTTTGCTTAGAGACAGAAAAGAGGTCTGGGTAAATTAAGAAACACACCAAGTCCTGGATGGAAAGATCTAGTAGCTTAGTATATACTCTTTTTTTTGTTTGTCTTGTTTTGTTCTCTTGAGACAGGGTTTCTCTGTGTAGCCCTGGCTGTCCTAGAACTAACTCTGTAGACCAGGCTGGCCTCCAACTCAGAGATCCACCTGCCTCTGCCTCCTGAGTCAGGGATTAAAGGCCTGTGCTACCACCACCTGGCTTAGCATATATATATATATATATATATATATATATATACACACACACACACACACATACTCTTAAAGTCTAATTTTATTGGAATTATGCCGTTTCAACTTTTGATATCCTAAGAATATGGGAGATGAGGAATTGGAGGACTGATTAAAAAAAATTTGGAACTGGGCTCTGTGACAGGTTACCACAACCCCAATACATGGAGGCTGAGGTAGGGAGACCCCCCCAACTTCAAGGTCATCCTGGGTTACATAGCAAATCTGAGGCCTGCTTGTGCTACAGTAGTGAAGTTACATTTCAAAAAAGGAAAGGGAAGCCAGGCGGTGGTGGTGGTGGCGGCAGCGGTGGTGGCGGCGGCGGCAGCGCACGCCTTTAATCCCAGCACTCGGGAGGCAGAGGCAGGCGGATCTCTGTGAGTTCGAGGCCAGCCTGGTCTACCAAGTGAGTTCCAGGAAAGGTGCAAAGCTATACAGAGAAACCCTGTCTCAAAAAACCAAAAAAAAAAAAAAAAAAAAGCAAAGGGAATTTGTCATAAGAAAGCATGGCCAGGGAGGCTGGAGAAAGAGTCGGTGGTTAAGAGTACAGGCTGCTCTTCGTAGAGGACCCCAGTTCAGTTGCCAGCACCCACACAGTAGCTCAGCATAACCGTCATAACTCCAGTTCCAGGGGGACATAACACCTTTTTGAACTCTGCAGGCAACAGGCACACATTCGGTGCACATACATACATGCAGGTAAAATACCCATACACATAAATTAGAATAAATAAGTCTATAAAACAAAACAACAACAAAACCTTGGACAGAAGCAAGAATTAAGTACACACAGGGCAAAAGCCATCAGTGAAAACGGGTTTCCTGAAGGAAATGATAAAGCAGACAGCTACACGACAGATGTGCCTTCCATGCACGTCCTTACCCTGTGGAACTGCAGGTGCTCAACAAAGCCGGGCACCCTCTACATCTTTCTTATGGACGTCAGGTATTTAACTGCTGAGCCCAACCTGGGGTGAGGCTTGTTCCTAATGTCTAAGGTCCCACAGAACCCAGGTGTATCCAACTCTACAATACCAAAGCGAGGGAAAAATCCCATCTTGGAATTTTTCTCTGGGTTGTTTTTATTTTGAGAGCCCTCACTATTTTTATGTGCTCTATATTTTTAAGATTAAAAAATAATGTGTACATGTGTATGTACATGTACTACATATGTGTTTGGTACCCATGGATGTCAGATCCCCTGGAACTGGAGTTACAGACAGTTGTGAGCTGTATGTTGTGAGCAGCCAGTATGTGCTAGGAATGGAATCCTAGTACTCTGCAAGAGCAGCCAGTGCTCCTAACCACTGAGTGCATGCGCAAACACACACACACACACACACACACACACACACACACACACACACACACACACACACTCACTCTCCACTACGTGGATCAGGGAGTGGAACTCACTTGTAGGTGATTGCTGGCTTTGAGCCCAGCCCGGCACAGACTGGGTGTGGCAGTGCACCCGGCAAGGGAGAGGAGGAGGGTCAGAACACTGGAACCTCTTCCCCTGGGCTGCAGTAACCAAGGTTTGGCTAAATTAAGCGATGGAGGCCTTCCTTCCTTCCCTTTCAGACCACACACTGTAAACACGCAAAGAACTTGTTAGGACAGTGTGGGCCAAATCCCAAAAAGAACAGGAAGTAGGAGAGTGGAAAGGACTCCTGACAAGCCCAAGTTGAAGGGCACAGGGAAGCAATCGGAGGTCTATGCAGCAGTGCTGATTTCAAATCACAGACACACACACTCAGACACACACACACACAGACATATACACACAAGACACATATACACAGAGACACAGACACAGACACACACAGACACTCAGACACACACACAGACATACACACACATACAGACACATACACACAGAGACACAGACACACTCAGACACTCACACACACACACAGAGACATACACACACAGAGTCACAGACACTCAGACACACACACTCAGACAGACAGACACACAGACAGACAGACACACACACACACACACACACACACACGCACGCACGCACGCACGCACGCACGCACGCACGCACGCGCACACACACACACACACTGACATTGTGTAATGCTCTCACAGAAGAAAAAGGCATCAAGTCCCGGGAGGCCTGGGGTGCAATCTGTTTTCCTTTGCAGTGTTGGGATGGGACCCAAAGCTGTGCATGCCAGGCATGCACTCCACCACGGAGCCCTGGCCCCAGGGCTGAAACTGGAGAATACAAACAAATGGCCACACAAAAGGTCTGAAAGAAGGATAACTTGAGGCAGGGACAGCCCGCTTTACCTAGACTTCTGCAGAGGCAGACATAAGAGAGACACTAAGGATGAGGAAGGAAGGTCACAGCTACCGTCTTCCACCTGGAGAAAACCCTGCGTTTCTAGCCCTGACGTGAGCAGCTCAGCCTTAGAGCAGAGTCACAGAGCAGAGCAGTGGGGAGGCCCACATGTCACCCTCACCTGGAACCCTGCCGGGGAACAGAACGGACAGTTTGGTTTTCTTCTCAGCGCCTGCCTGCCTGGTGAGGGCCTAGTCTGTCTTTGCCAGAGTTATACACAAGTCTGATCTGACTTTCAGAGTCTGGGTCCCTTAAGAGGTTTGCCGGACACAGGGCCATCATCAGAGCAGATCTTCCTGCTTACACAGGCACGCAAGAGCCTTTCCACCTGGGTGGGTAGGCTGTATTTCAAGGGGATGGATGCTCCGGACACAGAATGAGGCGGTTCCATGGTCTCAACCCAGCTCCAATGAGAGTCACCTGGGGAGCTTTTCAAGAATTCTAGTGCAGAGCCCCAGCCCAGAGCAATTCAGCCGGATCACTACACAAGGGCTGGCACGACTGGTTTGTTTTGAAAGTTCCTCAGAGAGTTATTATTGTTGTTTCTCAGTATAGTAGAGGCCTGTGGTTATGTTTACTTTTTTTTTTTTTTTTTAAATAAGTCTCTACTGCTGGACATGACGGCGCACACCTTTAATCCCAGCACTTGGGAGGCAGAGGCAGGTGGATCTCTGTGAGTTTGAGGCCAGCCTGGTCTACAGAGTAAATTCCAGGATAGCCAAGGTTACACAGAGAAACCCTCTCTCGAAAAACAAACAAACAAACAAAAAGAAGTTTTTACTAGAGATGCGAAATTTGCTTTAACTACTTCATGGAGAAGGGTAGTTGCAAGTGTAGGAACGTCACTGGGTGGACACACACAACACTGCACCCATTTTACCTTTGTATGTTAAAATTTCCCCGTTAGGATTTTATTTCACAGAATCAGTAGAAATAAACAGTTGCTCTCTGCCCCAGAAAACTCACGCATATATGTTTTTAAAAAATTAGTTAAACGCTTTGCCAGTGAGTCTCAAGTGCTGAGAACTACTAGGCAGCATGGCTGAAGGAAGGGTAACTTGACTGGAAACAAAGGTTTACGTTAGGAGCAAGCAGCAATCCAGGAGTCGGGCTGGGTTGGGGCGAGGTGAGGCGCAGGGTGGCGGCCCCGCCGGCAACCAAGAGCCCAGCCCTCCGGTGGGTCGTCACCCTCCACGTTTCCACATGCACACCTGCCTGAGTCGACTCTTCACTCACAAGTCAACTGCAGCCATGCATGCATGTGCACACACACTGCACATGTCCACGTCCACGTGATTAAGAGCATGCCCAAGCTCGTGAACACCTCACTGTCTGTGGGAGTCACCTGACGGCATTCCCTGAGAGTGGGTGGGGAGAGGGAGGGCAGCAAGCTCGTCCTCCACCAGGTGAGGCGTGCACACCACTGGTTAGAGGGCCGAGGGAACTCTCAACTCAGGGGTCACCACTGGGGACGGGGGTGGGAGGGTTAAAAACCGTGATGAGTAATAGATGTGTCAGACTCAAGATCCCCGCTCACCTGTTCTTCTCCATCTCATTGTGGGTTGATCTGAAAGAGGAGCAAAAAAAAAAATAAGATTATTCTTGTCTTTCAAAAGAAATCAATTATTCTTGGCTTTTTCCCCCTCTTCAATTATTCTTGTGTTAAAGAATGACTTTAAGCTGGGCATGGTGGCCCATGCCTTTAATCCCAGCACTCAAGAGGCAGAGGCAGGTGGATTTCTGTGAGTTCAAGGCTAGACTGGTCTGCATAGTGAGTTCCAGGACAGCCAGACTTACATGATGAGACCCTGTCTCAAAAAAAAAAAAAAAAAAAAAAAA